CCCGTGGGAAGTGGGGAAGGAATTCCTTGTTTTGCTTTGCTTGCATGCATGGCTTTTTCTTTACCTATTAAACTGTCTTTATCTCAGCCCACAAGTTTTCTCACTTTTACCCTTCTGATTCTCTCCCCCATCCTACCATGGGAGGAGTGAGCAATCGGCTATGTGGGGCTGAGCTGCCAGCTGGGGTTAAACCACCACAGTATTGCATGTGGTTCACACAGCCAGTCCCCATTTCTAATGGCATAGGACACACCGATGCCACGTCTGTCCTTACTTGGGTCTTTTTACTGCTTCCAGAAGTCAGTTGCCTTATGTAGGAGCCTACTTTATTAATGCCTGATGTTATCTGGGGTGTTTTTCTTATTCTGCATACATGGGCATTTTACTTTTAGGAACATGGCATCACAATATTCTAAATGAGGCAAAATGATTGTATTACGGTTTGGGACAAAGTGTTAGTAAGTATTAAAGTTGTAATTTCTCCAAGAAGATAACTATAAATGCAGAGTCCTTCATTGACTATTATTTACATCAGTAAGTTGTTATGAGGTGAAAACTTTTCTCAATTTCTGGTTTAAAATGCATGTCCTGTCATTTAAGTCCTATAACACTTCTTCATAGTTAAGAAAAATATGTTAAACCCCAGCATTTTTAGTGCACATTTCCTGTAAGATGCAAACTATTTCTTTTCAAGGGCTGGACTTGTGGAAAAATAATCAGCTGTCGTTAAAGTCATAGCTAGGACAAAATTTAGTATCATTAGGTCAATAATGTTAAAATTAGCTTTGATTTCCATCTTTTGAATGGCCTTTCATTCACAGTGTGCATATGCAAATTTTCACAGAGGTCTTCATGTTTAAACGAATAGTATGCACTTACACATGACAGTTTTTTAAATTACAGTTCGGCTTGCTCAGTGTATTCTGTATCAGCTTTCTAAAATGAATAGCCTCAAGTTTAGCTATTCTATTTTAAAACTGCCAAACATTATTAGTAAAGCAGAGAAGCAGTTCGAAAAGTAATTAATTCCAAGGCTTAGAGTAAACTGCTATTTTAATTAAAAGAACACTAAATACTAATGTCCTGCTTCTTTGTACTTAGAACGTGAAATAAAAAAAGTCTAAATCAGTTACATTTAACACATTTTAAATGTAAGTTGAAATACATTAAAGGCCTATGTCCTGTTCCTGCTATTTATAAACTGACTCAAAAGAAAAAATCAAAAGTTAGAGACATCATATACCACATTTCTTGGTTATGCTGTGCCATTTTTCTTACTTATTCTCTTCCAACTTGTGCTGAGTAGGAAAATCAACGGGTACGTAATAGGTCTTTTCACCATATTCGTATTGCATAAGATGCCACACCTCAGTTGTGCAGTTATGACAATTGCTACCTATAGGTCCTCAGAAGAAGTAAGGTCCAGCTTCTTATCTGAAGCTGTGGAGTAGCGGTGTCATGTCTGCGGTGTGCCATGGAGCACAGCATGGCTGCTCCCAATCTAGCACCGATCCCACTCGCCGCCAAACAGGAATCTTCGACAGGATAATCACAATGGCCTGAAGAAGCTTGAGCTACAAGGCACCCATAGGAAACATGGTTTATTTTCTAGAACAGGATGCTGTATGTGCCACGTGATTGCATCAGCACTGCTTGGGGCTAGCTCAGGTATCTATGTGTGAAGCTGCTTTGCACAACATAGATCTGCCTGATTATTCATGCCTGTCATTCTTACCTCACCTCGTCGTTGAACTGCAGTAGTGCAATAAGCATCACCACAAAACTTCCCATGTGGAGAAAATTCCAGCTTGTGCAAGAAGATTTAAAAGGCACATATTTTTGTCAAGAACAACAGACTAGGTTTGTCCTTCTCTCTCCAATGATACTTGACTTTCCCTATAATTTCTAATTCAATTGCTACTTTATGGCCAGGGCCCATGGAAACTAAAAGATCAATTCAAATTTTGGGGAGGAAGACACAGACAACAGGCTTACTCTTCCAGTAAAAAAAAAAATCAAAATTTGTTGTAGATTATAGGTCTAGCCTGTAAGAGCATCAGATAAGTTTAAGAAACTGATGCAAGGTTTTATCATCACTATGAAGCAAAGGACAGAAAAATACTCCCCTTTCTTCCCAGATACAAGGTTAATCTCTTTGACCTTGTCTTCTCTAATACACTTTTAAAGAACTGGACAGGAAACCTGCACCTGGAATCTGAGAAATATTAGTTCAAGTGTTTTTTTTTCCTGATTGAGACTACAGATTTAATCTAGGGGTGCTGCATCCTAGGTAACTATCAAGATGTTGACCATGGCCTTTTGTTTTACTTATTTACTTCCCCTGGAAAATCCAATGCTGGACATAAGAAACTTTTCCCAAAAGTTGTTTTCTTGAAACTAGCTCACTGCCAGAATAAGTTTCACTTCAACAAGTCATTATGTTTCAATTAAAAAAAAAACAAACAATCCTGTTCCATCAAACTGCTGCACGGAAAAAGTCATAGCCCTTCCAAAATATAAGGTAATATGTTTGCAAGCTAGAAAAAACAATGCAAAGCATTCCACTGCATACTCAAGACAATGAGATATCAAATACTCCAATGATGTTAGTCACGCTAATTGGTGCAACACAAAAATTATGTTGGACAGTCCATGAGGCTTCTCCATCTCAGGTATCAGGTAAGATCAACTGCAGAAACTCCAAATGTAAAGCATAAATATCCATACCAAGAGCATTATTGAATTTGGCTCCTGAATTTACATTACCAGCAGAGATACCCAGAGAGGGATGTTCAATCATTCATACTCTGCTCAGAGAATGAGTTTAACCATTCAATGAGTTGGCCATTCACTGATCCAGGATCACTGAAACTTGCTTTTGATGTACTGCACGCTTGAGTAACTGCTCTTTGCCTACAGATAAAATTTTGTCATCATCTTTTTTTATGGGAGAAAATTTTATCAGGATTATCATGGTATTACATGAGACAGAATTTTTTGCAAGCTACACTATTGTCATGTGATGTGAATATTGGCCCAGTGTTACTGATATGAACACAAATCCTGGATGGTGTATCAAGGCTTATCTCAAGTTTTTCAGCATTTTCAATTTTAAGGTCCATTCTCAGTTTCTTATACTTTTCTAAGCTTTATCAATTTGTGTAGGCTTTTTCTGCCAAGTATCTGATTCTATCTTCATACTTTGGAAAAATGTCAAGAATCGTTCAGCCATTTCTCAGTCTGATGTAAAGGAAGAAAATTCTGCTAGTTAATTCTTTATCTTTATGACAATCATTTCACTGAAATTTTTTATAAAGACCTTATTTTAAATAGAAGGATATTAATTTAAGTCAAATAATAAAAATAATAAAAGTCTACCCAAATTTGACCAAATTAGGAGACTGAGAAGCACGTTAGGGCTATCTTCCATCCAGTAGGAAGGAAAGAGGAAAAAGATATGAAAAGGACTAACACATAACTGAAAGTATACTTCTTCTAGATGGTGCTATTGCTTCGCTCTTGTGGAAAAAAAAAAATTTTTGGAAAAAAAATAGATTGTGATAAGTTAATTAGGGTCTACACTATTGTTATACAAACAAGGGATTTTATTAGGATATCAAATAATCTCACATATAGCATACCTAACTTCTGAATGTATATTACATATATGTTTTCAGTACTTTTTACGGTAATTTTCAATTTTATACATATTGCTACAACTGAATTACATTGCAGTAATTAACACTATTGATTGGATTTCATCTTTAAAGTTTATACAATAATGAGCCTTTGACCACAGAAAACTTGTCTTTTTCCATTGACAATATTAAAAGGCTTGAAAGCTAGAAAAGACTCATGCAGCCCTCTGAGATCTGCATGTACACATTACTAATCAGATGACCTGCTCAGCTATCAGAATTGAAAGAGGTCTCCAAAGGTCAAAAAGGAAGTGGACTAAATAAGAGGAATCTTCTTTATAGAGTTATTTGCATGTATTAGCATTTATAGCATACTAATCAATTCCTGACAATCAGAATGTGTTCCCTTCTGTTCAGTTGCCTAATTTACTTACATGGATTTAAGAATAAAGGCTTCACTGGAAATAAATTGAGGGATTCAGTAGTATAAGTGCTCAGAAAAGCTGTAGTTCAAAATCACTTACCTGGCAAAAGTCCCAGGAAGACAGCATTGGTGTCATCTACTCAAAACATTATATGGCTCCTTTACTGCAGTCTGTGAGCATCTCGAAGCTTTTATTGTATTTACTTTCAAATCTTCATAGAATCATAGGAAAATAAAGCTGAGAGGGACTTTAAGAGGTCACGGAGTTCTCTGGCACAAGGCAAGATGAACTATATCTTTGTCATTCCTCATACACGTTTGTGTAGCCAGTCCTTAAATTCTCTAGTGAAGGGGGTAACAAAGGCTTGATGGGCAATTTCTTTCCATGCTTCAATAACCCTGTTATTACAGTTATGCTAATATCCAACCTGAATCTTTCTGGATGCAAATCCACCCATATACTGACAAAATGCCACGGGCCAGCCGAGTGTGTTTAAGCATCACGAGTCTGGGCTTATGCTGCTCTGGGTGCAGTGATGCTGCTCAGCTGAAGCTTATTCCTCCAATAAGGGAACTCAATTTTGCACTAGTCTTTCGCTCAAACAAAGATCACAAAAGAAGAGTGCAAAAAAGAGATATCCCAAAAGATAAACTGTGGGCTTAACAATCATAGTTCCTCCCTCTAAACTACCTTCAGAGGAACTCTTTGCCAAACTACTGCCCTGGCAAGTTATATATGGGATACTTTAAGTGATTTCTCAGTGGTTTATGGAAAGCATTGCATTTTTAGTTCAGTTACACCATTTATGCTGCTTGTGGTGTATGATACAATATGACACCGCATACCTGAAGCATTTGGAGTGCCGAGTATTCCTTCCTCATTTCCCTCCTGGCTGCCTAGAGCAGCACATGAGATGGTGCCCTTCACTATTGCTCACCTTGCCCATTTTGGCTGCTGCTTCTAACTGGAGTTTGGTTCTTACAGCCCACTTCTTCATAAAGCTGTAATAAGCAAGAAAAAAGATAAATTACAAGGTAAGCACAAAGGTCTTTATGCTTTATCCACAGTATATAATATTAAGCTACAGTCTAGCACAAGGGCCTGTGATCAGAACATGCTCTCTGGAATCTAACTAATTCCCAGATAATCCCTAAATTTTCTAATAAATCTCATGAACAGTCAGATGATGGCATTTGTGAAAATAATAAAGCAATAATCCTCATAAATCATACCAGTTCACTTTCAAAATATCCAGAAACTCACCTGCCATACAGAAAGGGAGTAATTACAGGTGATAACATTTCTGAGATCATTCAAAAATTAATTCAAGAATGCTCTGAGAGTTATAGTCTGTTGATCCTGTGTTATAAAATTTATACTGTCCTTAACTTTTCTTTGAAATGCACTTCAATAAATGGACCCAAATTCATCATTGTCTTCACCCCTTCAGATTAAATTATTTCAATTTAAAAAATCCTATTATTGATCAGCTTTAATTTCCATAGTAGATCTGAACCAAATAAACATACCACTGGTTTCATATAATGAAATGCTGTATTTGCCAAAAAAGTCCACCACAAGCCACATGCACATTCTGAGTTATAAGATGAAAATTTTAATAGGATTAGCATTGGATTTCATACCACTTTCAGAATCAGAAATACATGATGTAGTGGAAAAAGGAGTGTTTTCATTTAGTTTCCATTGTGTCCATTTAGTTTCCATTGTATCGTGGTTTAACCCCAGCTGGCAGCTCAGCCCCACACAGCGGCTCGCTCACTCCCCCCGTGGTGGGATGGGGGAGAGAATCGGAAGAGTAAACATGAGAAAACTCGTGGACTCAGATAACGACAGTTTAATAGGGAAAGCAAAAGCCACACGCACAAGCAAAGCAAAACGAAGAATTCCTTCCCCACTTCCTGTGGGCAGGCAGGTGTTCAGCCATCTCCAGGACAGCAGGGCTCCAGCACGCCTAACGGGGACATGGGGAGACAACCGCCATCGCTCCCAACGTCCCCCCTTCCTTCTTCTTCCCCCAGCTTTAGACGCTGAGCGTGACGTCATATGGTCTGGGATATCCCTTGGGTCAGTGGGGGTCAGCTGTCCCGGCTGTGTCCCCTCCCAGCTCCTTGTGCCCCCCCAGCCTCCTCGCTGGTGGGGTGGGCTGAGAAGCAGAACAGCCCTTGGCTCTGGGTAAGCCCTGCTCAGCAACAGCGAACACATCCCTGTGTTATCAGCACTGTTCTCAGCACAAATCCAAAACACAGCCCCATACCAGCTACTAGGAAGAAAATGAACTCTATCCCAGCCAAAACCAGCACATTGCTTCATAGTTTAATGAAAACCTGACAGGGCAGATATATAAGGCATATATATATATATATAAGGCAGATACAGATAACATATAAAGAATATGCAAGAAAACTAAATTTTTATCAGAAAAAGAAGCAGATAAATTCTACGTATTGGTTTTCATCACAGAGGAGGTGAGAAGTTCCTTCTCTGGAACTACTCTTTATGGGTGGGTTTAAAGTACTCCTTAAACTGGAATTGGTGCTAGAGGAGTAAAAGGTGACAGTGGCAATGCCAGCTTGTGAAAGAAAGCTAGATAATGATCTGGATAACTATAAATCAGCCTGAGCTCCACAGTAGGCAAAATGGTAGAAACAAGAGGAAAAGGTGTCCTGAGGATAAATACTGCATGCTACAAAGAATCAACACAGCTTTTGTACAAGAAAGCCATGTCTGATACATCCACCAGAGTTCTCCAAGACAGCAATAAACTTGTGAGAAAACAAAAGGCCATTTGGTTAATAGACTATTCTTGGCTTTTCAGTATATTCTACACAAAAGTTCCTAAATAAACTAAGATGTCAGAGATATCAGATAAGATTTTCTCATGGTAAGAAGCAAAACACTAAATGGTCAGTTTTCACAATTATAGGCACTTCTCAGGGGAACGTTTTTGGGTATCTGTTGTTAAATATGTTCAGAAATAAATCTGAAAATTTTATAAGCAATGACTTGATATAGCTTGCTGAGAATATAAAATCATGCAGAAGAGTCAAAGCTGAACGTGAAGTTGTCCTGGTTTCAGCTGGAATAAAGTTAATTTTCTTCCTAGTTGTGAAGGACTGAAGCAGTTAATATCTCAAACATTGTGGTGGGGCAAGTTCTGCTTAACGACTAACTCCACATAACAAGGAACTCTGCCCAGCAAGGAACGCCAGGTGAAAAGCAGCCCATCGATCAGCACCCATAGGTGCCCATCGGCACCCATCAACCAGCAGCAGGAGGGGGAGGCCGTGCCGGAGGGCGCACAGCTCCCGGCTCCCATAGCGCTGTTCTGATGCGCTGAGGGGGACAGCTCACCCTGCCGGGAAGGGGAAGTGGCTCCCCAAACGACCCCCAAGCCCAGAGGCTCACAAACCGCTCAAGACACCCAATTAGTCTAATGCTGGCCCAAAGGAGGGGCAAGGATGATAAAAGGACACAAACTGAAGCCCCATGGGCACAAGCCCACCAGAACTGGATCCTCGGCCGACTAAACCAATGCTGGACCCAGGACCAGTGAAATCTTTCTCTCTTCCCTTTTCTCTCTCTGTCTTGTTTCTCTCTTTCTTTTTCCTTTTCCATAGTCCATACACCTCATCCCTTTAGACATAAACCACTGACCAAGGCTGGGATGGGGAGTGGGTCCAGCTGCCCCAGGCTCCTCTCTGAGAAGGAGTCTAGAAAGCAACGGGGTCTGCTCTCAACCTCGGGACTCAACGGGAGGGCTCGCCTTATTGTCTGCCCTCAACTGATTCCCAGATAAGCCAGGCCTGTAGTATATGTTTGGTGATGCATGGTTAGCACATGTTACACCGTTTACTGACATAGTTTCATGCCAATTTTTGTTCTGAGCATACCAAATTCGGTGGTGAGCATGCCAGTTCTTGTTGTGAGCAAATAAAAGTTGAGTTTTGTGAGTTAAAGGATCCCTGGTGTCATTTCACCTTAATCCTGACCTGGAAATCAGCAAATCTGAGTCATCGCCCTTGGAAATTGGGACATGACACTAGTAGCTGGTATAGTGCTGAGTTTTGGATTTAGGATAGGAATAATGTTGATAACACACTGATGTTTTCAGTTGTTGCTAAGCAGTGTTTAGACTAAGTCAAGGATTTTTCAGCTTCTCGTGCCCAGCCAGCGAGAAAGCTGGAGGGGCACAAGAAGTTGGCACAGGACACAGCCAGGGCACCTGACCCAAACTGGCCAACAGGGTATTCCATACCATGGGACGTCACATCTAGTATAGGAACTGGGAAGTGGGGGCGGGGAATCGCCATTGTGTCGGGTGTCGGTCGGCGGGTGGTGAGCAATTGCCCTGCGCATCATTTGTACATTCTAATCCTTTTATTATTGCTGTTGTCATTTTATTAGTGTTGTCATTATCATTATTAGTTTCTTCTTTTCCGTTCTATTAAACCGTTCTTATCTCAACCCACAGGTTTTGCTTCTTTTCCCGATTTTATCCCCCATCCCGCTGTGGGGGGTGGGAGTGAGTGAGCGGCAGCGTGGTGCTTAGTTGCTGGCTGGGGTTAAACCACAACAGCCATCTGCAAGATAAATCTAAAAAGAAGGAAATTTTTACCTGGAGTAGATCATGTCACATAAATTGCTGGTCAGGTACTAATATGTGCTGGTACAGACTTCCATTGGGTGATGCTGGTTCTTTCAAAGCTAGCTGTTTCCCCATCAGGCACCTAGTGAAACCAACCACTGCAAAAGACCTGAAAGATTATTCTTTTTTTCCCTGTGTATTCTCGATGAGGTCACAAGGACTTGGAGGTATTCTGATTCTCAAGCTCCAAGGGAGTCCTGCCAAGAAATCTTCCTCTGCCTTGGTGACCACAGAGCTCTTGCAATATTGGAGGCTCCCTGAGGTGCTTGGAAGTCCCAAGGGCTCTTAGTCCTCCTAAGTGTCCTTGAATGAGATTAAGAGTCAGGAGTTTTCAGGTTCTTCCCACTCCAAGGGTGAGCAGGAAGTTCCTCTCTTGGCCAAACATCCTTCCTGGGATTTCTGGAGTCCCTGATTTAACATTGAGCAGCTACAGAGGCTGGAAATCCTGGCTTCCAGACTCATGATCAGTGTACCAGTAATGTCTCACAGCCCGTGCTTATTCTGCAATTTGGGTAAAAACCTGTAGCCGGTTACAGAGCTTTAGTACTTGAAATATATACTCAATTATTTGATCTGATTCATTTACATTCCCAGAGTCAAAATCTCAGCTTAAATTTAATCAATATAGGGATTGAACTGTTAATTCTACAACTCAGTTCTGATACACTGCTGTGAAGAGTGCAGAGAAACCTTATCCAACCAAACAAAATCCCTTAAAACCAACAGATCAACACTCATTTTACAGAACTTTACAGAAAAGTTAGAAGTTTGGCTATAATAAAAGCTGCCTTTTGAGCCAATTCCTTTCTCTGTTTCACAATCCTGAGTAACATAGAACTTGTTTAATTTTTGTCTCTTTTCGTAAAGCTGCATTAAAAGGCCATATTTGAAAGAGAACTAATGAAATTCACTTGCATTGTATGATTCAAGGTGCAAAAGAAAAGAAATGCAATTCATTCAGAAGTTTTGCTGTTACTTAGTCCATGATGTATTCTGCATTTACATGTGTTTTGAATGCACTGAATGAATGATATTCCCCAAATCCTGCTATAACCACAATATACAATGCAATACTTTTAACTGTACATTAGAAAAAAAGGTATTTAATTCTTCTTGGTTTCAAAGCCAGTCTGTCATCCTCAGTCACAGCCTGAATTTCCTTTCTCTTCTTGATTTAACATGGAACCATAGTGATATTCATATTCATATGATATTCATATTTTCCCCTGTGCTTAATTATAGACTTTTTTTAAACTACTTTAGGTTTGGACACTGCAGTTTGGATGGGGGAAAATGTTCTATTTGTATGACTGACTAAATGAAGAGAGAACAGAATAGAAACAAAAATAAAAGCATGATGAAGACACCAGCTAGTAGGTTTATTTTGTTATGCACCTTATAGATGTCATAGACGAAAGGGAGTGTTTGCTCCATGGTGAATCTGACATTTTTGAGAACTGCATTAATAAGGTTTGGCCATATTCCAGAATAAGCAGAACCCTTTCTGAAGTGTCTGTCACAACTTTGCTTTCATTCTCCTACAGCATAAGAGGAAGCCCCTTCTCTCTTGAAAATCTGCCATATGCATCCCATCTACCCTTCTTAAAGTATAATATGGTTATGGACCATCTGATTTGAATTGCATGGCCAAGCTTGAAGAGTTGTACTTTCACAGGTAAAATGAAGCCATTTAAAAAAAGAATATGTGCTTCTGCATTGTAGTTGTGTGTCATCAATTACAGGAGTACAGTGAGATTTTTTTTAATTATTAATTTGTGAAATTTTTACTTGAGCAATAGTTGTGGCTAGATAAATGCTGAATGGTGCAAAATGTGACTGTTACAGGATGCTTTAAAGAAAATAATTTTGGGAAAAAGCTTACACTGGGTTAAACTTTAAACGTCTGTGAATGAACAGACATCACAGTGCATTAGAAATGATGAAGAACTTATTTTCAGCATTAATGTAGCATTAAGCTATTTCAAAGACATCATAAGATGAAAGCTCGAATGAGGATGGACAATCATTTACCACACATGCACATTAAACATATAGAAGTACAAGATGTCTTTAGCCTTCAAAGTTGCAGAATCCTGACATGCATCAAAAAGCTCCAAAACACATGACAATGCATGTGAAGATAAACAGACTTCAGTAGCAGACTACCCACTTACCAAAATACAGCCAAAATGACTGCATGATCAATAGACTCCATGACAAAAATAAATTATTATACAAAGACTTTATGATGACCAAAGCTCTTTGTAAAAATAGGACTTCAGTATCGCAGTCTTTTTTTCATGGCTGCCCATACTGATAGTACGGGGGGGGGAAAC